GTTCATCCATTCATTAGCAATCATTCAATTTGCAAGTTCTTTCTTTTTCATTTCTGAAAATTTTTATGTTTGAGTTATTGCTCAAGAGACTTTTGGGTCATCCTTGGTTTACCAAATCAGATTCTCCCATTCCATTCATTAGCAATCATTCAACAACTTTTAATTTTAAATTATGAAATAGGCGATTTAAGTGAAAGTTTCCTCTTACCGAACAACGTAATATATAAAATGTCGTGTCAACATTATTTTTTGATTTAGCTTTCCATTACACATTTAAGCAAGTTTCATATACTTGCTCATTGCTTGGAAATTGCCGGTCGTCTTATTATTCTTGCAAAAGACAGAGACGTAGTAAAAGGAGTCAATACTTATCCGAGACTTGAACGTTGCCCCTTGAGAAACATGACAACTATGGAACAACTCTACGGAAGTGATAAATTTTCATGAGATATTTCAACAAATTTACTTTCTTAAGATTAAACCCTTCATTTATGTTGTGTGATTTTCATATATAATCAAAATTCTTTAGGTCATTTAGTATGACAACGCTCTTTAAAAATGGTTTTTTGGCCACCCAACCCAATAATGGATCTTTTAGGGTAAAATTAGTGAGGTGGATGATGGCTCCAGCCTTTCATTCTTTAAGGTTTTACAATATGTAACTTTTTGTGATCCCAAACGTATTCTTATATCAATGTAAATTTGAAACAGTGAAGTAAGATGTCAATCCAAATGGAAAAGTACATACAATTTTGTTGAGAAAAATCCCTAATTAGTTTTGAAGAATGACAAAATAATCTGTTACTGATCAGAATTATACTTAAGTTATTTGATGCAGGTAAATGCTGAGTCATCAGACTTAGTCGATGAAAGGACTTTGTCATTAGATTCAAAATTACTCGCCAGATTTAATAAGTGTTATTTTTGGCAAGTTTATGCAGGACAATCAAATTGATATTTCAAAATATCCTAATTGACAATCACAAGATCGTTCCTTAACACAAAGAACTACACTTATGGAAATCTTGATTTGATTGTATGGGCGATCAAATCACCTGGAGATAATGGTTCTTCTTCTAATGGCTATGCATTTTCTTTTGGGAAGTTTTCTCCAACGGGTTGATTTGGAGATCAATCCTCTGAATACTGTCCAACGGATAGATTGGAAGTAGAGGAGTATAAAATGAATGCAAACGTCGTACAAGATGAACAACCAGAACCGAGAATTCCAAAGTTTGAATAGAACTTCGATCTTACACACTTGTGACTATTGTATTCCACGTTGTAACTTTAGAAAGAAAATTACTTGAGTGAAGAGTGTCCGTGATAGTGAAGTCTATCATCTGAGAAGCACTGCTCTTATAATCTTTTGGTGATTCAATAGTAAAACACAGCCAACAAGCTGCCAGCGTGGAGAGTGAACGTAGGCCTGATAAAGCCGAACCACTATAAAAATCTGTGTGCAGTATTTTCTATCTCTAAACTTTCATTTATTATTGCTGACATTATACTGCATACATATCTGTAAACGAGTTCGTGAAAACATCATCTTAGTCATCAGACGCAATCATCTGACGACAACTTATATACAAGTTTGTCATATGCATTCATCTGACATTGTTCATACGAGTTGTTGACCTTGACTATATTCATTCCGCACGTTTAAATCATATAATTTGATAAAATCACATATTCACCCCCATCTAGGTGAAAGCACTAGCCATAACAAATTTTTTAAATCTCTTACAAAATAATATGTCCACAAACTAATAATGTCTCGGGCCTAGCTTGTCAGGCATGGGGGCCGACCCTGTATAAAATGATTCAACACATTTTGTTTTGCAATCAATCGATCACGGTAGTCATAGTATCTGGGTAACGAGCCTGTTGAGTAATACTTCTATCAAAGAGAGACCCGAAACACCCAAAAAAGAAAAAATGGATCCTCCAAATCTCCTTCTCTTGCTTATTCTCATGTTTGCTTCCACCATAAACGCCCAATTCCCAGCGACCTACTGTGGTTCGACCGGCAACTTCGGTGCCAACAGCACCTACCAAACCACCATCACCACCCTCCTCTCCTCCATCTCGGCAACCAACTCCTTGTCCCTCTCCTACGGCTTCTTCAATGCCTCTGCCACTATCTCCGGCGCCTCCCAAATTCTTTACATCTTTGGCCTCTACTGTGGTGACTTAACCGCTGCAAGCTGCCGAGCCTGCCTCGATGCCTTGGCCTCCGACATGCACCGCCTCTGCCCCCTCCAGAACAAGGCACTCCTCTACACCGGGAACTGCATCATCCGGTACTCGAACGCCTTGTTCTTCAGTGCAGTCACGACAAAACCTACCTACATGGCAAGAACCTTTGACAACGTCTCGAGCCCGGACACATATGACACAGCGATGAGGAAGCTCCTGAACGGTCTATGGGCCGAGGCGGCGGGTGGCGGCTTGCTGAGAAAGTATGTGTCGGGGAATGAATCAGCAGGGCCTGACATGATCTATGCGTTGGTGCAGTACACACCGGACTTGACGGAGCAGCAATGCAGCGACTGCCTGGTGTTAGGCGTCCAGGCGATCAGGGATTGCTGTGACAGGTACACAGGAGGACGGTTCATGGTGCCTAGTTGCATGATCCTTTACGAGACCAATCATCGGTTCTTCGACCCAATCTGTGAGCCACTTCCGTCACTGCCACCGTCATCGCCGCCGTTTCTGCCGTCGCCATCACAAGAGGCAGATGTGCTGCCTCCACCACCAAGTATGTTGGCTCTTGTTCAGAAGTTAGGTACACGGCATTTGTTTCTTTTTTTTTATAAAATTATGTGGACTTCACGTGAGATTCACACAATAAATGCTTCATATGAGCTTAATCTACATCTTAATAAGCCATACGATTTTTTTATTTGATATGTGCTCAGTAGATCATGTAGTTTTTATTGCTTTTTGGGAAAAAAAAAGTGTCGGTTGGTCCATATTTTCGGCAAAATAACATATGTTTAATCTTTGATGCATCAACATGGACACTAGTCAACTATCACAGTCAGTCCATTGAATCACAAATTATGGCACTCATTGCTCGCAAGCTGTCGTATGAGATTGTAAGTCTAGGCTAGGGTAATGAATCAATAGCAGATATTCGTTACTTCTCATCATTCAATCAAAAAGAAAAGGGAAAGACAATTGCGAGGTGGGAATTGAAACATTGGTGACACGAACTCATATGAGATCTTCGACTATGACTAAAACTTTATACCATCCGTCATCGAAGGAAAAGAGCGGCTAAAACTTTCCAACTAGAGTGAGATAGAGAGGGAGAGAGAGACTCTACCAAGATGGCTCTATGAGCAGAAATTGGAGGGCCTATGGTAGGCTTAATCTTGAGGTCAGTGTGAATTTGTTCTTGGAAAGCAGAAACTAGAGAGCCGGCCAAGAAAGAGATCTTCTGGGAGAGTTCATCCTCCACCTTCTTTTTGCGTTGCATCCATTCAATAAGATCTGGTACTCCCTGTTGATTTAGATAATTAAATTAGAGTTTCAGAAACAGAATACTAAATCGTAATTTCTTAAGACAGGAAGCTATTATTGATGGAAGGGCATCAAAATCTCAACTTGATGAGCATCTTCCAAACCCATATGTTCCATTTTCATTTTTTTGATGCTTAGATTTTATTTATGTTGAATGGTCGGGCTTTGAATAAATTTGATGCCTACCTAGTTCGGCAGCTCCAAGAAGGCTCAAACAAAATATTAGGCTAATCCATTAGGATATGCACTAGGCCTGACTATTGGGCATATACTTTTGGAACTAAGTCCAAACCGAATTGACCCTTTTTTTTGCTGAATTCTAATATGTGATTGAAAGGGTATTTGTTAATCTTTTTCTTTGGTTCAAAAAGACGTTTTATTCGTTAAGATATAACTTGGTACCATTTGAACCCATGAAAGAGACTTAAGAATAAAGTAAGTCATTCAACTGTAGAGAACTATTTGCTAAGAATGATTTTATTGCACTTCTCTGATCTTGACAAGTCATCAAAAATTATCCTGTTAAGCATGAGAGAGAGAGAGAGAGAGAGAGAGAGAGAGAGAGCAGTAGACATCTAGATCGATCTGTTCTTTTTATAGCTTTGCAACATGAGTTTCGTTTCCACAGTTGTAATGGCACTTTAGTAATTTCTCCGGTGTATTACTTAGTAATCAGTGAGCAATGATGATAAACATAATGAGCCTTTGCTCTTGCAGTTGGAAAGAGCAATTCGACAAGGACTGTGTGGTCATTGCGGTCGTCACAAGTGTTTCTGCACTACTTGTCATCGGACTTTTCGTGCTCCTAAAATTGAAAAGGAAGATGAAGCAGACCAGACAAAGTTTTGAAGGCGAGTCTTTATCCTTTTGCATTCGAACAGCAACTGTTCATGAGGTTAAAAAAGATCATGAACATAATTAAGTTGACTAATAACAATGCTTTTGCACCGGCAATGTAGTAAAAGCTGCATCGCTTTCTACAATTAGGCCAAAAACTTTATAAGGGTTTAGGGTTTATTAGTAATACCGGCAGGTACAATTATATAAACTAGACGTTTGTGAAACTTTCGTCATGAAAACTATTTACCGCGTTTTTGTCTTTCTAGGTGAAGTTGTGCATGAAATTAGTACGGCGAAGTCGCTGCAATTTGATTTCAACACTATCAGAGTGGCAACGGATAACTTCTCTGATTCCAAGAAGCTTGAAAAAAGCGGTTTTGGTGCTGTCTACATGGTAATAATTAACAAAGCACATCCTCTACTATCTTGTATTCAAAATTTAAACAACCAAAATAGTCAATGATGACATCAATCTGATGCTCTTCGAAATGCTTCAATGTACAATCGATACATATGCACAAGGACCAAATTTGGTGAAATTCCAGGGTCAGTTCCCCAACGGACAGGAAATCACAGTAAAACGGCTATCGCAGAATTCTAGCCAAGGGTAAGTAGAATTCAAGAACGAGGTCATGTTACTGGCTAGGCTACAAGATAGGAACTTGGTCAGGCTCCTAGGTTTCTGTCTGAAAGGAGTCGAACAACTTCTCATTTACCAGTTTGTGCCCAATTCAAGCCTTGATCAGTTTCTATTCAGTATGTTTCTCTAGTTGTAATTCGTGAAATTAGATCCTCACAAAATGACTAATGGACGTATAACTGTGATTCCACCAAAACGTGTAGATCCTATAAAGCGTGCGAATCTCAACTGGGATAGGCGTCACAAGATAATAATAGGCATCGCTAGAGGGATGCTTTACCTACACAAAGACTCTCAATTTCGTATCATCCATCGGGACCTCAAAGCTAGCAACATTTTGTTGGACTCGGACATGATTCCTAAGATATCGGATTTTGGTATGCCGAGGCTATTCGAGTTGGACCAAACTCGAGCAGAGATAAACCGAATCGTGGGGACCTAGTAAGTGTTGTAACCTCCTAGAGCTAACGATTACCAAAAGAACAAAGCAAACTATAAATCTAATATGGTGTTGCTATTGTGATGCATAGTGGATATATGGCACCGAAGTATGTAATACACGGAACTTTCTCGGTCAAGTCAGATGTGTTCAGTTTTGGAGGGCTGGTTTTGGAGATTGTGAGTAGTCAAAGGAATACTATTTACCACATGGGCGATGACACAGAGGCCCTTATAGGCTATGTGAGTAAAAGCATACCTTCTCATTTTGCATAATATTCTAAAGATCAATATGCTCAATGTTTGTCAGATATTTGTAGGTTTGGAAGAATTGGAGGGAACGATCAATATCGAACATCATCGATCCCTCTATAAGTTCTGGTTCAAGTACTGAAATTTCGAGGCGCATCCACATTGGTTTATTATGTGTCCAAGAAGACGTGGCTAGCCAGCCAATGATGGCCTCAGTCCTTCTCATGCTTAATAGCCACTCGATCACTCTCCAAGTGCCGTCGAAACCTGCATTCTTCATGCACAGTGGCAATGAATTTGATATGTCATCCACGTATGATTATTCAAGGGTATCTCAGGTGGAGAGATCATGAAGCAAATCAAACCAGATCTCGAAAAAACAAGGCCTCTATGACTAAGCCATACCCACATTAGCCTTAGAAAATGGGAGATCAGCGTGCCCTGAGCATTAGTTTTTGGGTTTGTCGTGGTTTTCGAATCATCAAAATTACATTCTCATGATTTAGTACTTCCTCTAGATTATTGAGTTATATGTGATGGCCTAGGCAGCGGTGCACGGAGAGGAGGGATGGCGGTGCGTCCGCGCCTCGGTCCTCGGACATGCGCAAGGAAGGGGGGAGCCTCTCTTGTCCCACATCGCCTAGGGGGGAGTCTTGGACTGGCTTATAAGGTTCGGGGTTCTTTATCTATACATACACGTTTTCTGGGCGAAGTCCAGAGGAACAAAACCGTGAGGGCTCAGTGGAGCCCAAAGTGGACAATATGTGTACAGTGGCGAACCCCGGGACGTTACAGGTGGTATCAGAGCCAACACCCGACCGCGTGTGGAGCCACAGTGAGGGCGCTGTGTGTCACGCCTCGAACCCCAACGAGCTCGCGACATCCCCTGCTCCGGTTGAAATGATGCGACGTCCCAGGAACGTCGCCGACCCAACCCAAACATCAGAGCCACATGCGGAAGCGAATAACAAAACCCCGGACAAATAATGACGACAACGGGGTAAAACAACAGAACAATCTAGCAACCACATATTCATACAACACCAAATATACAAACATCATATTACAGACATAAATACAGACTAACATCCTCAGTCACCGTTTAAACAAAAGTTCAGGGGTTTGGTTATCTTAACTTCACTATCGGATAACTCAAGTTATACAACCCCTAAAACACCCTAGGGAAAAACCTAAGGGTCGCCCTCTTCCATTCTGCTTCTGAATTTCTGGCTTGAATCTCTGGAACTCACCTGCACTGCTCCACTGGGCACCAACAGCAGCTCCCCGGACTTCCAAAAAGAAAAGGCGCACTTCCCGGGTTTAGGGCCGGGGGTCTGAAAGTGACGGTTATACAACCGTGAGACGAATCTCAATAAGTGTACAACCCCAAACCCCACGTAGGCACTCACGTACCGCCAAACGAAAACACACATAACACACAACGATCGGTCAAACTAACAATCACATGCGACCCTACCTGGAATCCATCACGCACGTTCCTACATGTTAGACAATAACACAGCCAACACATCACAGCAAGGAATCACAGACGCGCGCGTGCCTTAATTATAAGACAGAAACCACTTGGGCACGTCCCATACCGTGCCTAGTAGTTTCTACCCCATAATTAAGCATCACATCACGCGATACAAACACACTCGCACGCTACTCACACCATGCGTCACTTTCCACAATCCTCTCGCTTGTCTTGCCAAATCCCACTCATTCTCAACCTTTCCACCACTACCGCGCCCGCGTAAAACGCATCAGGCCAACGATCTTCTGACCTCGTCAAGCATCGTCACCCCGTCGGGCCGGGCATCGTCACCTCGTCAGGGACGGCATCGTCCCGCGTAAACGTACACGCCTCAGGACGGAATCCTACATACACTTTCCTTCTACCGCGTCCGCGTAAAATGCATCAGGCCAACGGTCTTCTGACCACGTCAGGCATCGACACCTCGTCAAGCCGGGCATCGTCACCTCGTCAGGGACGGCATCGTCCCACGTAACGTACACGCCTCAGGACGGACCTTTCCAACCAAACCACATTTCCATATCCTCGTTCCACTCAAACCACACTTACGCACGACCAGTACTCGCACGGCCAAACACAATTCCACATTGCATGCACATTTCACAATTCACATACACTTTGCAAATATACATTCTCACCACGCCAGCACACCACACAATCATACACATATAACACGCGATCCCGAAGCACTATCACACATTCTTGGCACGCGAACATATTGCGCAATCGCACTGCCACACCATCACACCTCACGGCCACACATGTGACATATACGACCGCACGTACACAATCCCAAATCAGCCAACTACCACAAATCGCACAATCACGCACAAATTTCCATTCAAGGCACAATCCCAATAATTAATCGCACAAATTAATTCCGATAAAACCTCAACATCACAGCCCTAATCCAAGTTCCCTAAACCTCAAAATTCTTCGCCTAATCAATCCGCAACCACCAAATAATTAGTCACTCAAATCAGTCTCGAACAGCCCCTAAAACAGTCACAAAATTTCCTAAACCGGGTCCTAAACGAGTCTAGAAATACTCGAGCTTCTAGGTAGTTTTTGGGGGAGACACTTACCCAAAAAGGCGAGACAGAACGGGGCTGGAACAGGCCGGGACAGCGGCAGCAGCGGGAGCGGCGTCGCCGGCGACGTACGGACGGCGTGAACAGTATTCCCCCGTACGAACACTGTACGGACAGGCTGGGAACGGTGGCCGGCGAGGTGCCGGCGATGGCCGCGACGGCCGTACGGAACGGCGTGAACAGTGTCCGTACGGACGGTGAACAGTACCGTACGGACACTGTACGGCCGGCGATGAACAGGGACGTATGGACGAGCTGGACGGCTGGGTGCCGACGGAACGGCGATCGGAGCTCCGGCGAAGCTCCGGCGGTACTGTTTGCAGAACGGAAAGAGAGAAAAAGAGAGAGAGAAGGCTGTTTCGGACTAAAACGGCCGTGGTGGCTAAACAGGTGAGAGGGAGGTCCAAGGGTCTTTGTGACGACGGGTGAGTGGGCGGCCAGCGGCTCGGGTATCTGTTCCGGTGTGAACAGAGTACCGAGAAAATGCGTAAACGAGGCTATGAGAACAAGAAACGGAGAAGAAGAAGAAATTGCACGGGGGAAATGACCGAATAGGCTGAGAGGAGAGAGAGAGGGTCTGGTCAAATAGGTCAAAGATGGTCTAAGTGGAGTCCAAGTGTCAAAATCTTGGCCATTTGGACAATTTTGCCCTTGATCCAATGGCCAAGATTAATCCATATCCAATAATTTAGGGTTAAAATGGTCATTTGTCCCTAACCAAGGGCTGACCAGACCTGAATTAAGTTAACTCACCTTGGTTAGAACCCCAAAAATTTTCTAAATTCGGAATTGTCCAAAAATGGCCTAGGGGCATTTTCGTAATTTTTCGATCCCGAACCGAAATTCCAATTTTCGCACATACATGTTCCATATGTGCATGGCCAACATAATATGGCGTCGGAATTGCGAAAATGGCTTCTTAAGCCCTTGAAAATCGACTGCAAAGTCCTGAGAATAAAATAATATTATTTTTCACTTCCGAGCCAAAATTCCAATTTTTGACCGAAACAACTCTAAATGCACGTGGCCACCCCAAAATGACACAAGCCTCGAAAAATAACCTCAAACGACTTCAGAATCGCCATCGGTGACCAGAGGGGCAAAATCGTCATTTTCCGGGTCCTGGACCGAAATCCATTTTTTTGCAGAAATGGGTGGCCCCAAGGTTGGCCAAGCCAAAAACGTCATCGGCCGCTCAAAATTGTCACTTTCAAAATTCTCGATTCCCGGGCCCGAATTCCAAGAAATGACTAAAATTGGACAATTGCAACTTTAGCTTATCTCTGGCTAACGGGTGGCTCATTGGGATTATGCGCTCTCGACCCGTGACCGACACTAAGTCAAATCACGTTTAAGTTTACTCCACCCGAAACGACCTCGATTGTCATATAATTGCGAGGGTCTGTCACTAGTTCCCTTCGGACACGATCAATCAAGTAGACCGGTCTCGGTTGGCTCAAAACATTCCCTCGTCAATCCATATGGTCAAAGATCGAACTCAGGTCGAGTTCTTTGGTCGTGCGAAGTCAATCCCGTAATAGCCCTACCCCTAAGGTTAGCATCCCGAGAATGCGCGGGTCCCGGGTGAGATCTCACTATAAGTGCATTGGCCAAAATATTCATTTCTTAAATCCCGGGAAAAGGATCGAAAATTCAGACTGTTACACTGTGCCCATAAGGGGTGGAGAATGTAACAGCCCAGATGGCAGTGCGTAGGGAGGAGGGATGGCGGTGCGTCCGCGCCTCGGTCCTCGAACGTGCGCAAGGAAGAGGGGAGCCTCTCTTATCCCACATCACCTAGGAGGGAGTTCCGGACTGGCTTATAAGCTTCAGGGTTCTCTATCTGTACAAACGCGTTTTCTGGGCGAAGCCCAGAGAAACAAAACCGTGAGGGCTCAGTGGGACCCAAAGTGGATAATATGTGTACAATGGCGGACCCCGAGGTGTTACATTATATGGCTTCAATGGCTTGGCATTAAATCTAGATACGTAGGATGTTGGAAGTGAAGGATACTCCCAAAAGGTCATGCCTTATATACATAAACATCAACCACAAGCTTGGTCCCCCGACCCTAAGATTCTAGATCCGTCGCTATTCATACATGAGATTGCATGTGAGCCATAGAAGTGAAGGAGATCAAAAAGAGCAGATTCTTCTCTTCCACTTTAAACAAGACGAGACAGTCAAATAAAAGCTTATGTCTTATCTCAATAACTAGGCAAAATGTATGACATTTCACGCCAACGCACATTGCAGACAAGTATGTCTACATCTTGATCACTTTCCTTAATTGTGTTTTCATTACCGCTTATAAATAATCTCTTGATCTTGACTTGACCAAAGTAAAGCTAGCGTAGTTAAAGTCCTTTTTCACAAAAGATAATTAAATTTAAAAGGAAAAAAAAATCTCCTGAAGAAGGAAAAAAAGTCCCAATCAGAGAAACCAACTTCTCCCATAAGAAGATTTCTGGATGGTACAATCTTTAGATATGAAAACAAAGCGACACTCGAAAGAAAAATAAGCCACAAAACAAGCACATTCAAAGAAAAGAAACTTGAAAGGAGTGTTACCATATGTAATCGTAGGGGCAAAATTACCAAAAAAGTCATAAACCTTTTACAATCGTGCCAATTCAGTCCTAAACCCTTTTTTTTGCCATTTCAGTCCTAAACCTTTTGCAATTATGCCAATTCAGTCCATCCGACTACTTTTGGCCGGCCGAC